ATATATATAGATAGCTAGATAGATAGAAAGATATATAGAAAGAAAGATAGATAGATAAATAGATAGATATAATAGATAGCAGCAAATCTAGCTGTACAATAACCTACGTACGTTTAATAAGTACGTTTTTTTCCGTGCACATATAATCTATCGCTCACAAACATAAATCGAACTCGAGAATGCTGCGTATCTGTAACACATCGCTACAACGCAAGAATCAAGAAAGCACCAAGAATAAATGCTATTATCTCTACTCGCCTACTGTTCACAATACGTTTTGTGTACGTGTACACGATCTATGCACACATCACACATCTATAGACACGATTGCTCGACTGATTATTACCTGGAGTGAAAAAATTGCGTAGAGTCGGCGGCGGCAGCGGCGGGCTGTTGTACTGCCAGCGGTCAGCATTTTTCACTCTCTGTACGGACAGTGGGCTGTGAAATCTGACCAGTGGGCTGTCCGACGGTTTGGGACTGCGAAATGTCGCAGCCGATCGTTCTAGCAAGGCTACTGTAGGGGTCTGTACGGCTGCCGAGGGTTGTTCGAGCAACACTCGCGCGATGAGAGACGAACGTCGCATGAACTTCATAGTTTAACGCTGTCGTGTGTACTTCAGCACTGTCAATCTCATGCACTTCGATATACAGTCAGTCAGTCACACAGTCAGCCAATATACTTCGATATGTCAATCGACGTTACTTAATTTACTTCACCACTGATGGACACTTATTGTAATGTTCACAGCGAGCGTTAACTGCTCACTACACTGGGGTACAGACGCCAGTGCAGCACTGACGGAAGCCGGTTAATCACGTGATTGGTTGTAGAGATATCACTCCGCTTGAACGGCAGGGGTGTGATGAGGATCGTGGGGGAGGGGGCATCAACGATTTCGGTTAATCACATCGACAAATATGAAAAACGCGCAGAAGAGCACGAACGCGTGAATGCGCACTCACGCATGCACACATACGCGCGCACACATGCGCACACATGCGCACACGCACAATCGCACGCATGCGCACGAACGAACACGCGCACACGGGCACGTACGCATGTACGCATGCACGTATACCTACCATGCAAACCGACACACAGGCACGCTCGCACGCACAAGCACACGCACGTACACCACGTGCGCACACGCAGACAAACACACACACACGCACACACACACACACACACACACACACACACACACACACACACACACACACACACGAGAGAGAGAGAGAGAGAGAGAGAGAGAAGAAGAAGAGAGAGAAGAGAGAGAGAGAGAGAGAGAGAGAGAGAGAGAGAG